CTCCACTGCATACTGTGCCAATCTTCCCCCTCTCCCCTGCCGTAGAAACCTCTCACTGCCTTCTCACCCAGTGTTACCTAAGCGGGAAAATTAACAGTGGCCGGTACCACTGGCGGAAAACGTGCATATGCCCTGCGTACGTGACGGCATGTCCCTCTTATTATTCCGGTCTGGACGTGGGTTTAGAGAAGTGCATCTGTGTCTCATACGGTCATGCTGGTAAACGTTACGCCATAGGAGACGGGCAAACAAGCCGTCTGTGCCTCAAAATGCCCTGTGCCAATATTGGTGGAGTAATTATTGGCGCTAACTCGCAAGAACGCGAAGAACAAAAACGCATTATTTATCCAACCAAATCGTAATCTCAAGCCCTAATTGCTGCTGCACGCGTGAACCTAATCATCAGTTCTCGTATGCAATCCTATCAAACCTTGAACCGTTCTTGATTTAATCAAATGATCTAGAACCAATTAGTACGCACCGATCTGTCGTCTGGTTGTGATCCACCGTATCATAGTGAATTGCTGAATGCTCAAACGGAAATGACTCCTTGAAACTCGTTCGATAGCTTCTGATGGGCTACTAGTTACCTAAACAAATTATCTTTATAGAGTGCCAGAATATTGTCATAGGGTCCCTAGCCTTTCATAGGGAATCTAATTTAAATCATCCTATTAGCAGTAAACAATGCGCATCAAACGAAGTGCAATCCTAGATATCATATAGCATGTCATATTTAACTGTCTACGTTCTTATCCCGTTGCAACTTTCCGCAACTAACCAGGCTCCTATACGTGACCTTCACCTACCGCCCGCGCCCCAATTACGGCTAACCCACTGCCCCTGTTGTGGCTGCTTTTCGCGCCCTCTGGCGGCTCAACGCCCGCGTCGGGAACGACGATTACCACGACCGCCGGCCGGCGCCGCGTCGACCCCGTCAGTCAGTCACGCCGCTATGGGCGCGTCAACACTCGCGGTACAGTGCTCGTGCGTGTTGGCTCTTCTGGCCGGTAGATTCACCGGATGTGTCAGTGAGTGTGAATCTGGTAAAATATCGCTGTAATATCTCCCTGTTCGACATCTCATCAGCTCCATTCCACGTAAGTTTTTTTTTTAAATAATTAAATTCCTGTCCCATTTAATCGTTCCCAACAAAGATGGTTTTTTTCTAGTATTTATTCTACAAAAGCGCAACGATCGCTACCTATATTAGTCGCATATTAATTCAAACCACAAACAATTCTACATCTACTTATTACTCGACATTTCGCAGCTGCAATGACGCAAACTACAAAAACCATCTAAAGTCGTAAAGTGTCAAACCGTCGACCTCAAACCACTACTCTCAACTCTGCACCTAAGTAACAGAAGAAATTCCGCCGTAAACTCAAGCATTCGTATCTGTCGATAATCATAACCCATAGCCATATTCATAGATCGATTGCATGAATCAGTCGCCACCTTAAACCATTACATTTCTTTCCAACCGTATTTACCTGTTCTATAATTGATTTCGACTCCACAATTAATTCCTATAGCAATATTACCAATGATTTCGCAGTGCAACTTTTAATGAGTACAGCACGAATCTACACCCTTATTTTAACCAACATTCCAACCTCAAATCGCACTTGACTACCGCCGAGAATAAATCAAACGAACCAGCTTGGCCAAACACAAAGACATATTCATTATTCAATGCTGACACGCATCATGTCATCAATCTCAACGTTCGTGACAATGAGCTGCTTATTCAAATTTTAGCATCTCGCTCCCGGCCTAATCGTGAACTCCAACTGACAATAACATAGGTATTTGCTGGCGGCTCTTGCATGACTTCACAATTCAGATTCTAATGTGCTACTAGGGTGTCTGGACCAATAAGTTCAAAGTAATTTAAGTTTCCCAATTCCAATTGAGAGTGCATTTTATGGCAACCGAAAATGTTTGGCAGTCGTCACGGCACGGCAGGCTGGGTAGAGGGGGGGGGGGGTCAAGGATCGGGATTGAGCAGACTTTTCAACAACACTCACATTCTGGAGTTTCTCTGTGCTTCCGCTTCTCAGTGTGGTCGCAAGCGTCGGCGGCTGTCCTCGGTTCTGATCGCTCGAGCTGAAGAGGCTTCTCGCGGGTGACCCCGGACTGACGGCGGCTCCCAGAAGGCGTCCCCGGCTCCAGCTGCAGACTGTGACTCTCGGCTGCTCGACTGTGATTCTCCCTCTGGTTGGGTGGCGCACCCTTTTATAGTTGGGGGGGGGGAGGGGTGACTGCCACGCCCTTGCGACGTCATCTTCCTCTGCCTTCTTCTGGTGGGTGGGGCCGTAAGATGGCGCCCTCTGTCCTGTTTAGTCACCTTGCTCCTCTGTGCCTGCAATTTTTGGCCCTCGAATCGTCTTCGTGTTGAGTGCTTTATCATTTTAGTAATCGCTGGCATAAAACAATCCCCGAAAGGTTTGTGATTTTCGAGTTTTAATTTTGATTCTTCAATTTCATTTTATTCAAACTTTTGTTTCCTTCCGTTTCGTCTGCCGCCAACGCCCCTGTGACGTCACTCTTGCTCCGCCCACCGTACCGGGGCGTGGCCGTAAGTCAGCGCCTTCTTCCTCTGCGGAGATCTCTGGAACTACCTCATGAGGCCATTGTGAGGTCGGTCACCCGGCTGTTTTGCCAGGTTCACTCACCCTGGGTTGCTGTGCCCGACAAAGGAGGCTGTGTGCTCCAGCCGGCATCCATCCTTGACACTGCTCCATGATCTGTTGACATATCTTACTGATCCAGCGTTATTTGAGGAGGCTCGGATCGCTCATCCTGCGGTAGCTGTCTCCATAGGCGAGCGTCGTAATGAGAGTTTAACGGCTGCCCATTGCGAAGACCTCTGGAACTTCAGCGTTTTTGCTTGCCGTAGGATCTTTCTGGTTTTGCCATTCCCTCCGTGGGACTCAGCGCGGCGCAGCTGTTGTGGTACCTGACAGAGTACGTGACAAGTGACAGAGTACCTTAACGTGCTCGCTCGCCGCCGCCGCCGGCCGCAGTTCTGACGTAGCTTGTTGACTCAGCTGTGCCTCGGCGGTTCGTACTGATGTGACCGGCATCGTCTTCTCGCAGATGTGTCTACTGCGGGCTATTCTCACGGACAGTGCTCGTTGAGGGAGTTGGGGAAAAGTGCTGAATGGGGATGGCGGGCCTGGTGACGGGGGGGGGGGGGGGTAGTGAATAATGAGAGGGGAGGAGAGCGCAGCAGCAGCGCTCCGCTCAGCTGTGCGTCACCCGGTAGCAGCGACGGGTGTGTGAATGGAGGGCTAGGCCTGTGACCGGACTGCGAGGGGGGGGGGGGAACTGCCGTACCGAGCCGTGCCGAAAAGATACTACGTTAAATGTTCAAGATGTAGCGTGCTACATTAACCTGCGCCCCACTGGGGTCTGCGTATAACACGCCCCACTGGGGGGGGGGGGGGGCTATTCATAGCCCCCCCCTCCTAACTCCGAAACTACTGGGCCGATCGTCAAAATTCAAACGGCGTCTGATAGCCCCGGAAAAACTGTCGAGCGAAACCTAATTTCATTGACCTCGAGGTCACCGATGACGTCACAGGTCAGGTCAAAGTAAAAATTATTAGCATTTTGGATTCTTCACGTTTTGGGCTCTGGCCGCTGTCTTACATGTCAGATCAGGCTCATTTTTGGTTCACACACTCGTGAACAGATGCTCTAGATACTCTGAGGGTACCAAACTTGTACTTTGATTTTCAGGTCAAGGTCAGGTCATCACAGGTCACGAAAATATTATATCATCCGTCGGTCACGTGACACATGTTTTATGGTCCATTTAGGACAAACATTTCGAATTTGATGTCGTCTGTGTCATTCGAGGTCATTTTGAGTCAAATTTAGCTCAGGTCAGGTCACTTTCAGGTCAAAAAAGGTCAAATTTTGAAGTTAAAATTTTTCAACAAAAAAGGTGTCTATTGGATGCAGTTTGAGCTCAGGAACACGATGGTGCTATTTATATTGGCGTACGATGTCAAATTCGTGCTGAAAAATTGATTTGAAAAATTAATATTGTGAATTCTTTGCAATAATGCGTATAACTTGGTCATTTTTGAAGATATTTAGCTAAAACTTGCTAGAGTTAGTCATAATAATGCATTCTATCACATATATTCCGGTTTTTTCGAAAAGTCAAAAAGTTTTTGAAAAAAGTGTAAAAATATAAATTTTGAATTTTATTATATAAAATTTTCGAAATGTTCAAAATTTCGAAAATCCGAGATAGCAGTTTGATAGCGCAGTCTATTCTGAGTCCTCTCATGCAAAGAAATTGGATCTAGCTTAAAAACTGTGCTCTTGGGAGCGATTGCCGTGGTTCAATGTTTTGCGTCGAAATCGGCCGAACATGACGTCACTCTGACGTCATTTCCGGCCGACCTATGGTAGGTACGAAGTTTAAATTTTGACACAAGGTGTCAAATTGATGCAGCCGAAGGTACTGAAAGTTTGGCGTCGATACGTCAAGCGGTTTGGAAGTTATTGCAGAAAAACGGGAGGGGGGGTTATAAATAGCCCCCCCAGTGGGGCGCGGGTTAACATTAGCCCTATGGGCGTTGCATGGAAAGAATGGGACCAAAAGTCGGCAGTGCCTCCCCCTCCCCCCTTAATTGAAGATGTTCCGCCGCTACTGTTTGACAACTGTTTGCCAAATCAACTTTCCTGGAAAAGCTCCACCTATGGTAAGCAGCTGATACACCTTCGGCGCCGAGCCGTGCTGCCGGTGATCTAAAACTGGAGGTTAGACTGTGCCGCAGCGGAGCCGTGTATGGCGGCACACACTACCTACTCTAAACGCGGTGAAACACCAGCTGGACTTTGCGCCCGACAACGCAGTAACGACAATGCCGTAACAGAAGTTTGAAGATGTGTGTGCACTGTGTGCACCTTGCACTCTGCACTGTCTGCTTATCGTTAACGACCCGAGTGAATGACCTCTACTCCTACACACTGACCTGCCAGAACAACGTCGAACACACAGGGCGCCGCGGCGCGGCCGATCTTGTTTTCCGCCGTGCAGAGGAGCTGACCAAAGTCCAGCTCTGTGGTCGGTGTATAGGAAACCGTGCTGCTGAGGCCGTGTGCGGAACTCTGTGGGAAGAGCAGAACACTCGGCATGAGAAAGTATGGATAAGGAAAGGAGGGTGAAAATGATAGAAATAGATAGAGAAAGAGAGAAAGACAAGGGGATAGAAAGACATGGAGACGTAGAGAGATAGAAAGAGAAGAGACAGAGACTTGAGAGAAAGAGACAGAGAGATGGAAAGAGAGGAATAGGGACTAGAGGTGGGTAGGAGACCAGAAATTGGTGATGATGACACGATTATAGTGGCCAACTGGACTGGCTAAGGACAGTTGACAGAGATCAATGATGATTATGCGGGTCAGCTCGATGTAACGCCGCTGACCGCAAAATCACACCATTGGCTATTGTGAAAGAAGATGCATGTATGGCAAGTAAATAAACATAAATCAGCTAGAGTGACTAAGATGAGATAAATGAGACATATTCACGGTCCATTGAACAGCCAACATTAAGAAATGTTAGTATCATTTGAAAACAGTTATGATGAACTATGCCACTAATTTATTGCGTCAGAATTTGCGGCTCTGTCTCGCCCGTTGACAGGCCTCGCTCGATGCGAATTATATGGCTCCCATAGCGGCTAGCCAAGGTTAATTCAGCGCCGCCGGTCCAGCTGTCCGAGACAGTGCCTGTAGGCGCCATGCGGTTTAGTAGCCTGTTCCTGCGGGCGGCCGGCCCTCCCCTCCCCGGCGCATCCCTCCTCCCCCCTTGGGCCGGTGGCTGACCTTGCCGATCAGCTGATCGCCGGCCGCGCCCTAGTGGTGGGCGGGGGGCTTGTGCCGGGGATGAGCTAAGTACTGTGAGGCTGCAATGTTTGTTTCTTTTCTTTTGTGGGTATCTGATACTCTATGCCTATGATTTTGCGAACTTTGGGCCTTTGAGCCTTATTTGTAATACCAATAGCGCGCGATTCGTCAAGCTTTGTTCATGTTTCGAAGTACTGGTATTTGTTTTGCGTAGATCCAGCGGCGCCGCCGCGCTCTATTGGCTGCCATGTTGGCGAGCGGGGCGAGTGCAGGCATTTTTGGTCCAAGATCGGTCACGGGCCGTGATGAAGAACTTGTTTGTCTTTTGATTCGCCTTAATATAGGCGGTTGCCCTTGTCGGAGTAGTGGGAGGCGAGCAGGCCCGACGAAACGCGACAGTCGGTAAGATATTCATTGATAAATGCTCGTGTTGGTAAATTGAGCGTCTATTTGATAGATGTGTTACGATAGTGACGCTGGTGTACACGATAATAGATGATGGTGGCCGCAAGAACTTCTGTGTATGTGGCCTGTGTGTCGATTGTGAGCCATATTTTCGCTTGCAGAAACGGTACAATACAAGAACCAGTTCCGACAACCATCGTCTGGGTGTACAGGCGGCTACAGTTTCGACTCGACCTCTGAGTCGGCTGCACCTCTGCTCCCTCCTGGCTTCTGGAGAGTTCTTCTGCACCACGAGCAGCTACAGCTACAGCAGCTGCTGCCACACACCTTACTGCAACTGCTGCACATCTGGACGTGGACGAGCAGATCTGCATCCTGGCGGCTGGCACTGCACCCGCTCGGAGAACAGTGAGCAGTGGGTATGGTGCTAAGGTTGAACCCTGGACTCTAGAGCTTTTGCAGCTGAACTGTGCTAGGGGGTGTGCTATCACTACGCACATGATTGAGTAAATCAGCGACACGAGAAGTGCATCTGTAAATGTATTGACGTTGACTTGTGTTACTGTTTATGCCTGTTGCCGTTGATTGTTGGGTAGGATTCGAACCTTGAACTTGCTATTGGGTACTGGTGTGATAGCATTGAACGTAGTTTCCAACTTTGGGGAACCCTTGACTGTTATCACATTGGCCATTGGGCGAGTGACATCATTCCTGTCCAGGACAAATATCTTGATCGTCCATTTGTTACTATTATCTTGCTACGTCGACCTCGCATTGAAGTTGGACCTCACACCACCAGGCTTCAGAAGATTGCTTTGAATTTGATAGTTAAAGTCTGGATACATTCGCTATAGGTTGCTAAGCAAGAACAGAACTGATTGATTAAGGGCACTCACTGATAGCTTCGGATTCCTGACACATTCCTGAAGCTGGCCACGCTGAACCTATTTAGTCTACTTCCATGGTTGTTTAACTTGCACATTGATAATCCATGAGCTCTCAGAGATTGAAGGCGTGTCACCCATTGATCTTCATTTTGCTTGGTCTTCAACTTGTCTCCTTAATCTCATTGAACATGGACCTGAATGTTGAGCGGCTCAAAGTGCAAGAGCTCAGGGATGAGCTTGAAAAGAGAGGACAAGATACAAGAGGATCAAAGGAAGTTCTGAAAGAGAGGTTGAACCTGGTCCTCAAGGAAGAAGCCTTTGAAATGGCAACTGACCCAAGAACTGCTGGTGAGCTGCGGGCAGTTACCGTGGAGGGGGCTGAAGATGGTGCCTCACACGTGAAAACCAAGCCACCAGATGGAGACGTTCAAGATGTATCAGAGGTTGGTGATAGCGCCTCACAGCTGGCAGCTGGACCCCAAGTGGAACATTCAGTTGCATGTGGATCGAGGTGCTCAGGGGGCTCGATGCGATCCCTACGTGCACAGGAGTCTGCCAAACGTGCTGCTGCAGAAGTGAGGCTTCGATTCCTGAAGGAAAAGCATCGTCTGGAAGCCCAAGAGAGAGAGCTGGAGATGAAACGAGAAGAACTCAAACTTCAAGAGGAGATTGCAGAAGCAGAGGCCAAGGAGGAGGCATTTGCGATGGCAAGCCAAGCGAGCTCCCATTCTGGTGTGGCACACAAGTTGAAGAAACAGCAGCCCCGATCGAATGGCGCTGCTGAGCTAAACCCTCAACCCGTACCAACCAGAGCTCAGCCCCCTCAACCTCAGCATGATGGAGAGCAGGAGGTAATCAAGAAACTTCTGACCGCCAGCCTGCTCCCAAGACCTGATATCCCAGTATTCTCTGGAGATGTGACTAGATTCACTCAGTTCCTCCGAGCCTTTGACAACAGAGTTGCACACATTGTCCAGGAAGACGACAGTAAATTGTTCTATCTGGAGCAGTTTACGAGCGGAGTGCCACGCGACATCGTCCGAAGTTGCATGAACATGGCCACTGGAGGCTACCAAACAGCGAGGTCTCTGCTCGAGAAGAGATATGGAGAGCGAGACAAGATAGCTGATTCATTCGTGAACAAGCTGATGAACCGGCCTACTGTGAGGGCTGATGACGTCACGACACTCGACAACTTCGCACTGGAGCTCCGGACGTGTGAAAACGCAGTCGGAAGTCTCCAGCAAGGCCTGAACGAGTTGGACCATCCAAAGACGTTGAGAAAACTGCTGGAAAAGTTGCCCTACGCGTTACAGGAGAGGTGGAGAAGGGAGGTCGACGATCTTACAGTTCGGAAGGGTCGTGCCGTGCGCTTCTCTGACTTGGTGCGCTTCGTCGAAATCGAAGCGAGAGTGGCATCAAATTCCGCGTTTGGGAGACACATGTTCCAGAAAACAGGAAACACCAAGCAAAGAGAGAAAGAAGCCAAAGTGAATTTTGTTCGCCAAGAAGAGAGCGAGAGAAGAGAGATTGTGAAGAAGCCAGTCTGTCCCTGCTGTGATGAAGCTCATACGTTGGAGAACTGCTCTGCGTATGCGAAGCGCCCTCTCGATGCCAGACGCCAGCTCATCAGAGATAAACGCCTCTGTTTTGGGTGTCTGAAACCTGGGCACCGTTCGAGGGAATGTCGAATGAGACTCACCTGTGGCGTCTGTGAAAGGAAGCACCCGTCTGTACTTCATGTCTTCCAGGTGGCTTCAATGGGAGTACCAACGGCAGGGGAAGCGCCACCTGCACCAGCCGTTGTGAGCGTCATGTCCAACAGCGGGACGTCAACGAGGATGCCGGCGGTACCAGTGAAGGTGCGGTATGGAGATGGTCCTATCGTGGAGACGTACGCTTTTATCGACAGTGGAAGTAGCCTGACGTTCCTGAGCAAGGAGCTTTTGAGCCAGTTGGGCATCACAACAGCAAAGAAGTATCAGCTTACTCTAACCACGATGGCACAACAACCAGTCGAGCTTCATACTTCAGCCGTCGACAACCTCCAAATGTGTGACATGGACGAAAACGAGCAAATGCAGCTTCCGGAAGTGTTCGTCATCGACAAGATCCCAGTCAGTAGGACGGAGCTCTGTAAGGCCGAGGACGTGGAACCCTGGCCTCACGTAAGGGACGTGCTTCCAGAGGAGATCGAAGCAGAAGTAGGCCTTCTGATAGGCGTGAACGTACCAGAGGCCTTTGAACCCCTCGACTTCGTTCCCAGCTGTGACGGTGGGCCCTTCGCTGTCAAAACTCGCCTCGGCTGGGTCGTGAACGGCCCCGTCCGGTCCAGAAAACTGACTGAAGTAAGGGCAACGTCAAACAGGATCAGGCTGCTGGAGAGGCAACTCTACCAGGACGAGGGTCTAGCAGCTGACGAACGTGGATGGTCGATCGAAGACCATATGTGGATGGAAAAAGTGGAAGCTGGTTGCATCATGAAGGACGGACACTACGAGGTTCCCATCCCACTGAAGAAGGAGGGAACCATGCTACCAGACAACCGAGAGATCTGCACGAGACGGCTACAAGGACTGAAAAGGAAGTTCCGAGACCAGAAGTTTGCCGACCGATACAGCGAGGTGATGAAGGACATGTCGAAGAACGGATTCGTGGAGAGAGTGAGGGCAGAAGACCTGACAAGAGACGATGGACTTGTCAACTACATTCCCCACCACGGTGTCTTCGGGAAGAAAGACAAACTCCGAGTTGTTTTTGATTGTTCGAGCACCTTCAGGGGCGTCTCCTTGAATGACGCAGTCCTGCAGGGCCCGTCTCTCTGCACACCCCTGATTGACGTTCTACTGCGGTTCCGCCAGGAAGAAGTAGCTTTCATGGGCGATGTCAACTCAATGTTCCATCAGGTGTCTGTACCAGCCGACCAGCGCGACCTGCTCCGCTTTCTGTGGTGGCGAAACGGTGACCCTGCTGAAGACGTGGAAGTCTGGCGCATGACGGTGCATCCGTTCGGGTTGAGATCCAGCCCGAGCTGTGCGAGCTACGCCCTTCTACGGACAGCCGTCGACTTTGGCGACCTACACTCTGCTGCAGCCTGTGAGACGATCGCAAGCAACATCTACGTTGATGACCTGGTGAAGTCGGTGACGAAGATCGACGAAGCCATCGACCTGGTCAGGGAGGTACGAGAGTTGTGCAGCCGGGGTGGATTCCACCTAGCCAAATTTGTCAGTAACCAGAGGAAAGTCCTACAATCGATCCCACCAGAAGACAGAGGGAAGAACGTGAAGCAACTGAACCTCGAGAAAGAACTTCCGTTGGAGAAGACACTGGGGGTTGAGTGGCGAGTCAACCCGGACGTCATCGGCTTCTCAACCACGGAAGATCGGAGTATGCCATGCTCGAGGAGGGGAATGTTGTCGGTCATCGGATCATTGTACGATCCGATGGGGATGGCTGCACCATTCGTCGTGTGCGGTCGCATCATTCTACAGGAACTAACACGACGACGCTACGATTGGGACGACCCGGCACCGGAGGACATTCAAGCTCAGTGGGAGCAATGGATCCGCGGCAGAGCACTACTTTCGACCATCGGCGTCCCTAGATGTGTACAGCCAGCTGGCCTTGGACCTATTCAGACCCGAGAGCTCCATCACTTCGCAGATGCAAGCTCTGTCGCGTACGGCACGGTGTCCTACCTTCGAATTGTCTGTTGTGACGGACAAGTTCACTGTGCGTTCGTCTTCGGCAAGGCGAGGGTTCTGCCCCTGAATGGAAAGCTCACCGTCCCACGAGCGGAGCTGACAGCAGCCACTCTGGCTGCTCGCATTGAAGCCACACTGCGACGCGCTCTGCAAGTCAAGATTGATGAAAGTGTGTTCTGGACGGACAGCACAACAGTGCTTCGCTACCTCCAGAACGAAACGACACGTTTTCACACGTTCGTCACCAACCGTCTGGCCGTGATACGGGACGTATCTTCTCCGGCACAATGGAGGTACGTTGACTCAGCGAACAACCCGGCAGACGATGCATCGAGGGGACAATTAGCGGACAACTTCATCGCGAACCCGCGGTGGTTCGATGCTCCGGCCTTTTTGTGGAAGGGACGGGATGAGTGGCCTGAGCCCCCGGCTGGACTCGATCGTCGAGTAGAAAACGACCCAGAGGTGAAGATCACCAGCGTTGCAGTCGCACACGCTGGCTGCGACCCGTTGGAGGAGCTGTTTTCTCACTACTCTGTCTGGTACAAACTCGTGCGCGCTGTAGCATGGATCCTTCGCCTGAAGCGCTGCCTGGTAGAACGATGCCGTAAGGTGTCCGTACTCGGATCCGAGCCGAAGGCTCAGGTGAGACAGCGGCTTGCTGTACCAGAACTTGAAGCAGCTGAGAGGGCAATAGTCACAAGGATTCAAAGAAGTGAGTTTGCCGCTGATTTCGCCTCGCTGGAAGGGAAGGGCGCCGTCGGAATCACCAGTCCTCTCGCACGGCTGGACCCGTATCTGCACGACGGGATGATCATGGTAGGCGGACGTCTACGCCACGCACCAATCCGGGAAGACCAGGTGCACCCTCCTGTCCTCCCCAGACGTCATCATGTTGTCGATCTGATTATTCAGAGCATCCATGAAGAAGCAGGTCACTCTGGAAGAGAGCACACTTTGTCGCTGCTGCGCTCGAGATTCTGGATCCTGCGCGGAAACTCGGCTGTCCGACGCGTCCTCAGTCGCTGTGTCAGCTGTCGTCGTCGTCAGGGCCCGTTCCTGAACCAGAAGATGGCGAACCTGCCTGAGGACAGGGTGACCCCGGATGAGCCACCATTCACAAACACCGGGCTGGATATGTTTGGCGTCTTCTACGTCAAGAAGGGACGACGACAGGAGAAAAGGTACGGAATCGTTTTTTCGTGCCTCGTCTCGAGGGCAGTACACATAGAAGTAGTTGAGTCGATGTCTACCGATTCGTTCCTCTGCGCTCTGAGACGATTCCTTGCTAGACGCGGGCAAGTTAAGACCATCCGATCAGATCGTGGCACGAACTTTGTGGGAGCAAACAATGAACTGAAAGCAGAATGGGAACACCTCTCGAGGAGTGAGGACGTCATACATGAGAACCTGCTGCAGAGGAAGATTCAGTGGAACTTCAACGTCCCAGAAGCTTCGTCACATGGGGGTGTCTGGGAGAGAGTCATTCGTACCATACGGAAGGTTCTAGATGCACTGATGACAGAACAAGTACTCACCGAAGAGACCCTGACAACTCTCCTCTGCGAAGTCGAGTCTATTATAAATAGTCGACCACTGACGTACGTGTCCAGCGATAGCGGTGACCCACAGCCACTGACTCCCAACCATCTCTTGCTGGCGGGAGGCGCGCTATCCGTCCCGGTGGGAGTATTCGGAGCGGGTGACCTGTACTTGAGGAGACGGTGGCGCCAAGCGCAATACTTGGCCGGCATTTTTTGGTCCAGGTGGATCAAAGAATACATTCCACTCTTGCAGCAGAGGCAGAAGGCCTTTCGTGTTACGAGATCACTCATGGTGAACGACGTCGTCCTGGTAGCCGATAGGGAGCTCCCCAGGTCTCGCTGGCCCCTGGGCCGCGTCATTGAAACTTTTCCGGGCAAGGATGGCCTGGTTCGTAGTGTTAGATTGAGAGCAAAGGGCGCAGAGATACTCCGCCCTGTCAACAAACTGGTCCTCATGTGCGAAAACGAGTATTGTGAACGCTAGGACTGTGTTTGACTGCGCGTGTCTCGTCTCATGTGTTAGTTTAGGGTTGTTGAAATAGGCTAAGACCAGTGTTGAATGCGCGTGCCTTCAAAGGGGGCGGTGTAGGCGCCATGCGGTTTAGTAGCCTGTTCCTGCGGGCGGCCGGCCCTCCCCTCCCCGGCGCATCCCTCCTCCCCCCTTGGGCCGGTGGCTGACCTTGCCGATCAGCTGATCGCCGGCCGCGCCCTAGTGGTGGGCGGGGGGCTTGTGCCGGGGATGAGCTAAGTACTGTGAGGCTGCAATGTTTGTTTCTTTTCTTTTGTGGGTATCTGATACTCTATGCCTATGATTTTGCGAACTTTGGGCCTTTGAGCCTTATTTGTAATACCAATAGCGCGCGATTCGTCAAGCTTTGTTCATGTTTCGAAGTACTGGTATTTGTTTTGCGTAGATCCAGCGGCGCCGCCGCGCTCTATTGGCTGCCATGTTGGCGAGCGGGGCGAGTGCAGGCATTTTTGGTCCAAGATCGGTCACGGGCCGTGATGAAGAACTTGTTTGTCTTTTGATTCGCCTTAATATAGGCGGTTGCCCTTGTCGGAGTAGTGGGAGGCGAGCAGGCCCGACGAAACGCGACAGTCGGTAAGATATTCATTGATAAATGCTCGTGTTGGTAAATTGAGCGTCTATTTGATAGATGTGTTACGATAGTGACGCTGGTGTACACGATAATAGATGATGGTGGCCGCAAGAACTTCTGTGTATGTGGCCTGTGTGTCGATTGTGAGCCATATTTTCGCTTGCAGAAACGGTACAATACAAGAACCAGTTCCGACAACCATCGTCTGGGTGTACAGGCGGCTACAGTGCCGATTTACGGTCGGTCTGCGTAATCGCAATCCGGAGCTGTGATGGAAATATGGATTATTAAGGCTATGCATTAGCCATGTATCATGACTCGCGTGCGTAAAATGATAGAGATATAGTCGCAAAATCAGCAACCGCTTGGCTGAACCAAATCACAGCATCAGCATATGTAGCTACCAAGTGGATGTTTTATTACACTCGTTCCTTACCATAGAGAACGGCAGGTCGAGTGTCTCCAGAGAGCTGTTGAACTGCCATCTGTAGGTGACCTCGGGAGGTACGGCCTCCACCTGGCAGGTCACCCGGGTGGTCTGGTGCAGGGTCACGGCGTACTGCAGCCGCTGACCGGGCGAGCACACGGGCGCGTCTGTCGAGCGGGACGGTAGGGGCGTGATATGCACACACACACACACACACACACACACACACACACACACACACACACACACACACACACACACACACACACACACACACACACACACACACACACACACACACACACACACACACACACACACACACACACACACACACACACACACACACACACACACACACACACACACACACACACACACACACACACACACACACACACACACACACACACACACACACACACACACACACAAAACAGTTAATCCCGACTATTCATAAAAAATGATAAAAGCCTTTAAAATAAAAAGCACCAAATATACTCGTATGCCCATAATCCCATTTGTTTGTCCTTTCATTAAAGGTAAGCAATTAAGTAAACGATACAAAGCCATCGTGGCAACAATACATCCCTCGACAAATGTTAGGCAGCCTGCTCTCCCTGCCTGGCTTCTCTTTGGGTCATCACTCGTTCCGCTCATCTCACTTGAACCCCGTGTCTCACTACAACCACCAACACACACGTTCCATGCTCGCACTCCTCCCAGCCGGAGTGAGACTCACACTGGACGCTGAGCTGCACCGGTGGACTCTCCCCACTACCCTCGGGGTTCACTGCCGTACAGGCGTAGCTGCCTGCCGCTGAGCGCGTCAGGTTTCTGATCACCAGACTGCGCGCGTTGATGGTAACCTGGTCACCGGCGCCGGGTCGCAGAGACGGCTGGAGCTTCTCACCCTGGCGGCGTCAGGATGGGAGAGGGGAGCTGTTTTGACACAGTTGGAAAACATGATGCTATTTGGGATCATAATATGGCTCAATGATTGCAGACGAGCATCTGAAGGTACACGACTGGTATATGGGGCTTTGACACTCGGTTGTACATACTTCTTGATTGATTAATCGTCTCGGGTGCAAGATACGAAATATTATCGATATAACAGCAATGTCGCTAGCGATATCAGACAAGAGGCACCGTAAAGAATACTCATACTCATACTCATACTCATATATTTCGGTTACATCCAAGAAATTGGGTTTTCAGTAAACCACGTCATACATTCAGTAGTTCAAAACTCACACCTATACGTTTGTAAATGATCAGACATGATTGAGTTTTATTCACGATCGATGGCAACACAAGTCAAATTCCTAAAACCAATTTGATTTTAATACGAAACCAATTTGGTTTTAGGAATTTGACTTGTGTTGCCATCGATCGTGAATAAAACTCAATCACACCTATACATACAGGACAGATTCTATAGAGGTTAAAACACACCACACATAATAAACTGACCACATTGACCTAGCGCAGCCGGATTAAACATGCCGTTTCTTAACCTTTTTACGGAACGCCGCCAGACCGGTGCAGCTTCGAACAGGCGCAGGCAACTCATTCCATGAACGAGTTGCGCGACAGATGAATGAGCGCCGGGCAAGCTCAGTTCGCACGCGCGGGACATGAAGCTGACCGTCACTGGTTGCCCTAGTGCTGCGGCTCGACACCGCAGTACGGTGGACGATGCGGCTGCGGATCGAATCAGGGGCATGCGAGTCATGCATCAGTTTAAATATAACATGCAGATCATGCTCACGCAGTAGCTCCTGTACAGCAGGCCATCCCAGTTCCTTGCGGGACGCTGTCACACGGTCGCAACGCCTGAGGTTCGTTACGATTCTGACACAGAAGTTTATGCATTTCTGCAGTCTCCTGAGCTGTGTGACTGTGCAACCGCCCCATACAGACATGCAGTACGTTATTAGCGGGAAGACTAGCGCTTCAATCAGGAGCTTACGGGTCTCGCGCGGCACGCGGTGTCGAATCCTTGACAGACCGATCAGTACACTATAGCACCGGCGCAAAATGTATGATATATGAACTTAGAATATGAGCTTTAAAGGAGCAAGTCATTCTTCCAAGGGTCAGTTTAGCGAACAGCACTTTGGAAACATGATCCTTTGTTTATCCCGTTGCTACGGAAATAAATTTACAATTATAAGTTAATCGCACTGTCCCTGTAGCCGAGCTTGTTTATGGCTTAAATTAAAACGAATTATAAGGGAGCCGAATCTAGCCAAGCGGAAACGATTCGTCGTCTTGCATTGTTCACACACGGAAGTTAGTAAATGTTACAAACAAGACTAGCAGTGAACACGATAGTGAATAATTTCAATTGCCCACTGGGCCCATTAAGCGTGGTTTATTGTGTAGTTACTCGGTTGTGACTCTGGAGTTGGCCAAATTAGGGCCAACTACGCCTAATCAGACCGGTGGTTATGTGGACCGGCACGCAGCGAAAAGAATGAGCTGGCAAAACACATGTGACTGGAAAAACATGCACGATGCAAACATCTGACTGCAAGAATAGGCTTTCGTAAAATGAAATGTGGGACGTGGGTGCAAACTACCTGCCATGAAATACATGCAAGAATGTGCAAGAATAGTTATTGGACTTAGATGAATGAAATATGAATATGTGCAAACGGCATGCTGTTCTACATGTGGCAGAGATTATAGCTGTGTTTAATGCTTATGCTATGAATGATGGCGCAATTATTGACTGCGTCCAGTCACCAGTGCCCTTGCCAGTGAGCCCGACCAGGGTAGACGTCACTGGGTCATTCTGCACTGGCGTCTTATCTCGCTACTGACCAGCGTCATTCACTCACTCACTCACTCTCTCACTCACTCACTCACTCATTCATTTACTCATTCACCCGCTATCTGACCCCACTCACTCACTCACTCACTCACTCACTCACTCACTCACTCACTCACTCACTCACTCACTCACTTACTCACTCACTCTCCGACTTCACTCACGTTGTGTAGCCAGGTGACGGTGAAGGCAGCCGGGTTGGCGGTAATGCTACACTCGAAGTAGACGTCAGTGCCCTCCCGAATGCCGGTCGGGTCAAGAGCCTTTCCAAGACTTATTTTGACGGTAGGAGGATCTGAAAACAATGAGCAGACTTAGGTATAGGTATGTATGACTTGTTTGAAGTGACACTGGGACATAACTCTGCACAGCTGGGTGAGAAGTCAACGTAGAAGCATACCCTCTGCTTTCCTCACCATCTTTTTCGATGGTACTTGCGATAAAATATGCTGAACTTTTGGAGCACCATCAGCACTGTCGAATTGAAATATAAAAGTATCTAATATGAAAATATTGGGCACAAATTTGGTCGAATATTATCTTATTATCGCGGCCTTTCGTGAAAAAAAAATTGTTTTTTAAATCAGAAGGACATAGAGCAGATATTTGAGCTGATACTGGCGCATCTGAAACTCACATCGCACGTCGAGCAGTCGCCTCGCCTCCATGGCCGCCGGGGTCACGTGACTGTTCTCGGCCCGGCACACTAGCTGGCGGCCGTGGTCACGTGTTTCTGGTCTGAATGGCACCGTGCTGGTTGTTACTGAACCGTCCTTGGAAACCTGACGGAGAAGTCGGGCGCTATTTAAACGTAAAAACTGCTTCTACCAGGGCGAGTTCTTCTGCTTAAAGATAAATACTTCGCTACGGTTTATCTTGATCCGCTTGTTGTTGATAATCAACGATAACAATGTAATTAGCTACTTTCTTGTTCTCGGAAAGTTTGTTTTTGCTCCTTGTCCCTTATGTTCACATTTTCCTTGTTATTCATACATTATGATCATATTCCTTATTATGATCATATTTTGTACGAATGCAAAATGTGATCACAACTAAAAGCATACACAATCACATAAGAAACTCATTGTAATGAAGTAGCTACCGATCCGCCAGGTGATCTCTGGTTTCCGCGCACGTGTCGGTTCGTACCGTGTCAGCCTGGCCGCGCAGCCGCTCCCCGTCCAGCCACCAGGTAATGTTGGCTGCTGGCCGAGAGCCCTGACTGCGACATACGAGACTGTAGTTCCACTGGGCCGTCATCGGTGTCAGGTGCGAGCCAAGGATCGTCACAGAGAGTGGCGGAACTGTGAGTTGAAAAGACCGAGAGCAAGTGTAAGAAACAATCCGTCATCTGTCAAAGAAGCTTTCACCTGTTAATTGACAGCTCCTAATATGTCAGCTTGTAAGAAAAGAAAAACAATAGCATCTCGAAAGTGTCAACTTTCTATACTTGCTTCTTCTACAGCTTTAGAGTAGATGGACTATTATGACGTCGTTTCATTAGTTTATTTAATTTATAATCGACAGAAAACTAGTTGTGTGGTCTAACAAAGGCTTCTGTACACTGGGGTTCAAAGGTCTGTAGGTCCAGAAAAATAAATATCCATTAAAGTTAAACGAATTCGTTATCGTTCAGCTGTTAAAACCCCTACACAATAGAGTCGACAGAGAGGTCAATCAGGAACCTAAGGGCATGGGGTCTGTTGAGGTCTCTGTCTCTGCATGTAATGACGAGAACATTCAAAAGTCAGTCAGAATTTCACGAATGTCGAGTAAAATGCCATGTAAAAGTCAAATAGCAAAAGGCAACAACAGAGTAAAAAATCCAAAGCCAGGATAAGATGTAGTTGATTCGAACGGTGCGTGGGAGCTCACTCAATGGCCAGTCTCATTGTTTGTTTCCCGGCCACCCTTATCTACTCACAGCTGAGGTCAACCAGCACCTCGGTCGTGGCCGGCTGGGTCACGTTGCTGTTTTCTGCCGAGCACTGCAGGCGCGCGTGCAGGTCATCTCGGGTCAGCCTCTCCATCCGCAGCACGCTAGTGACCTGACCTGACCCGGGGTCACTACTGACCTCTGCTTCTTGTGGACGACCGTTACGCAGCCAGCGTAACCGGGGTCGCGGCCGACCTGAGATCAGGTCAGAGAGGTCAGCGGGGCCGTCTAACTTTCAGGTACTGTTTGCCAAAATTCAGCGGACAGAAATCTGCATCATGGTGAAAAATGGAAAGCATTATTTTGTACTTCTCTTCGTGATTGATATGTAGTAGGAACGACAGACATTTAAACCTGCTCGTGGAGGTTATACCATAACATTCCTACATAAGCTCACCACTCACCAGCATTCAGAAATTTCGTTGTTCTTTGCAACGCCAATCGACATCGTCGCGAAATCAACGAGGCATGGACCTTCCGTCGACGAAAGCACCACGAACATCTTTCTAGCTGAATTAAATTACTTAATAATATCTTTTATTGCTCCGGAGCCTAGTCTATAAAAAAAAACAGCTGAACACGGCTTCTGTCGGATGTTGTGAGTATAGCTGTAAGCCGATTGGCATGTTCGTGGAAAGCATTACTCGGAAAAAAATAAGCAAGCAAGTGTGCAGCGTTGATATGAAACTATACATGCGTGGAATCTAAGTCAGCATGAACTCCATGGTGACCGATGGTATCGCAATAAGGAACATTGAGGAACACCGACATGGCACGGATTCAGTTTCTGCGCAAAGTGCAGTGCGCATTGTGAGCCCCGGACGCAGTATATAATTGGGTATACATAGCCGTTCAGGTAAGCTCTCCCTGGAGTGCACAGAACGCTCGAAACGCCCAGTCGAGTGGAACTAATGAGCCACTTGTGTATCCTCAAGACGGCTGAGTAGCCGACCGCGCTGATTAAATTACGCCACTTTCAGTCTGAAAACTCATCACGGCGGGCTAGTTTCATAACCAGACCCCGTTGGCCAGGTCAGTGCGCGTTTGTCTGGGTCTCCGGAGCTGCTGAGAGGTCTGATGGCAAGCGTCAGTAATGCTGAGGCGCTCCGGCCGCGGGCGGTCGCTCTGGCCATCAGTTACCACCGGTTTCTGTCTGCCGCGGGCCCGTGTGCCGCGCCGTACCGCCCCCTGCCACTCGGCGGCCGTAAAAGGTCGACGGCGGCGCACGCCGATACGTCCTGCGCCACCCGCCCCCAGCGACGCTGACGAATGCGTCTCTTTGGGCGGCGCGCTCGCGGCCGTCCGCCCGGGGGGCCACTGCCATATTTCTTGGCCGACCGGGGCGGCGTGGCGGGCGACCTGCGGCGACCTGGCCCGTCGGCCCACGGCCTGTCGCTCGACCCACAGTCCATCGGTCCACGGACTCACACTGTGCGCCGGCGACTGAGGGTTAAATGGCGACTGCCCGCCGGCCCGGCGACCCACCCATCGGGTCTCAATCAGCAGCTCATAGCTTATGCATTGGTTCGGCGGTGGCAAGGCCGTCGAGATGTGGCACCTGGGCCGGTAAGTCGACATTGCAGGTAGTCGCCACTCACTTCGTGAGGATTTTCACGCTGGGAATAACGTGAAAGTTGATAGAAAATGTCGGAAGTTGGAGTCGTCTGCAGGCTGACATCATGTTTCATTTTGCGCCTTTTTCAGTTGAACATTTTCACATTTTCCACGTCTCCACATTTTCGAAGATTCTAATATTTATAGTCCTCGAGAGAAGAGAGTCTGCTTTAGCACATACCTCGATGAACACTGAACAGTGTACACCGGGGTGCTCAAACACACAATCCCGCATAAGTGTGACTTTTCACCCACCTCCACGAGACGAGCACACCAGTGTGAGTGGTTCTCCGAGCCGGAGCGGACCCAGCAGACCCGTCACCGGCCGCCCCTCCAGAGTGATGACTGGGTCTCCGGGAGGCACTGTGGAGAGAGCGAGAGAAAGAGAGAGAGGGGGAGGGAGGGTGGGAGGGAGGGAGAGAGGGAGGAAGGGAGAGAGGGAGGAAGGGAGAGAGAGAGAGAGAGAGAGAGAGAGAGAGAGAGAGAGAGAGAGAGAGAGAGAGAGAGAGAGAGAGAGAGAGAGAGAGTGAAAGCGAGAAAGGGAGAGATTCGTTATTCGATGTTGCAATGTTTCATAATAAAGTATTAGGTACAGACAAACTCAACTTTGACGGCCCTGATGTTCAACTGTTAACACGTTGAACGAGTCCGACGTCTTGCCAAATTGTCATCGTATACCTACCAACCAATATAAAAGTTATCAATACAAACACGCCAAAATTTAGTGTTGAAGTTTGCGCTCTCATCTGCAGGCTAGTTAAAAGACATTACCAACTACTTAAAGGCCTACCTTATCTCCATTCGCCAGAGATGGCAGCAAAACAACTGACTTTTAAAGCTGCACTTCGTCACGTAGGAACAGCTAACACAATAAGAGGATGGCGAATTTAGGTGTGGAAAACTTATTTATTAACATTTCTGTCGATTCAATCAATTAGAAGCTTTTTAAAGCTGAGATATTATCATACAATAAGTCGAGGGGTAACATGTTGGAATTATAAGTGCCAGAAGAAGGAGGGTTACCAGCTGAGTAGCGTCCACTAACCTCTCAACCCGTCAAAGTCTCGTTCACTCAGCACTCTATAATTCAGCTCTGTTCTATCATTCAAGACATGTGAAGACAATATGATTATGATGAAACATAATTTTACGACAGATCTAGTAGAATATTTGACAATTCCATCAATTATTCAATTACCATCTCAGCACCCATGGAACAATGAGACAATCACTGGCGTGTTGTGATGAGTCTGGGATTTATCGCCCCAAAGGAGTCGTTTTATTAACTCTGTTACGTTCAGCGGACTTACTGGTGATTTACTGCCAAGAAAACAACTATATAGGAGTCGATTCCATTACGGGGCTACATTTTGCTATGCAAATAAAACCGTGTCGGGACCCTCTGTTCATGATTGTCCTTGAAGTGTGGGTATAACTGTATGACCATTACCAGCACAGTTACACATGATTTATTGAGTCGGCTTTCAAATAATTGCTGCATTGGGAGGTACCAAAGCATACATACTAGTTTCTCGCGTTTATCGTAACACAAGATGAACAAATTTCAATTTATCGCAACATGTTTATCGCAACATTTTTGCCTCGATTTATTGCATCATCTAGGATGTTGCAATAAACTTGTGCATCTTTTAATGAAAGGTTTTGCCTATCTAGGAAGAAAAAATTCGGATATGTTCCTTCATGGATTGAATCGCTGCGTCGCTCGCCGGTGAGGCACGGAGGTTGAGATGCTGGAGGGACGGACATGCAATAATTCTTGAGGTGTACCTATCAGGTGCACGATGGACAGATTCGGTGCTTATCTTACGTTTATTCGCATATTGTGGCATATGTTCCCATCAATTAATAGTCGAAGTCGAGCACTCGCCGGCCAAGGGGGGGGGGGGCGGGTGCCGCCCCCATACTTTTTTTTTGGCAATAGCTCGGAACACGCCCGCGATGGAGAGCTGAAACTTGGCATACCTGACCTTTGACTCAAGCCGGATCTTGTGAGATCAGCCGTATTTTCAGCTCAGGTCAGGTCAGTGACGTGACCTATAACATAAGTGAACCTATGCACGGTCCTCAGATGTCGCAACTTCGCAACGCCCTCAGTGCTAGAGGAACTTTCACAGGGAGATGAAACTTACGAAGATGTAAGTTTTATCTGTGAGACCTTCAGAGGTCTCACAACTTGTATATATCTCTGATCTTTTCCTAAAGGTCACACGTGGTTAGGTCGGTTACGTGACCTCACCATTATTAAGTCAATGGGTAAATATGAAAACTGCTATTTTGGCGCCGGGAATGATCTAAAACTATCCCAAGCACATGGAATCAGGCGCATACCTAGAATTTTGCCAAGGGATGGGGGCGGAGGAATCCCGGGTGGGCTCCTTTCTACAGAGGGTCTCCTCTCTAAAGGGGCCTCCTCTCTACAGGGGGCCTCCTTTCTACAGAGGGTCTCCTCTTTACAGAGGGCCTCCTACCTTCAGAGGCCTCCTCTCTACTGAGGAGTCAGAGGGGCCCTAGCGGTCAGACACAGACACTAACGGTTATTCACAGGAGGCCCCAGGAAGTAAGAAGGACCCTAGCTGTCACTTGTCAGGCTGGTCAGAGGGCCCTGATTGTCCTGACGTGTTTTTTTTGGGGGGGGGGGATTCCCGTGAATTTCGTTCGCCTCCGACGTGATTTTAACCAACGTGGACCTTCGGCCCACGGGGCCCTGATTCCATCTGGGGCCTCCTAAAAAACCCAAGGGGGGGGGGCGGACGCCCCCCGTTGGGTACGTCCCTGCATGGAATCGTGATTTCATGCACTCCTTGCAAGGTCCGATGCTTCACTATTGCATTGTTGACCTTGCGTGACGTCATTTACGACGTCACTAGGGTCATAAGAGTTTTTCGTCAATAACTCCCGATCAAATTTAAGTAGAGAGTCGGGAAAGACACCATTGGACTCGGGAAGACCTGCAGAATCGAATGCTATGCAATATGATATCCTTTGATCAACTTCGTGACTTGAGGCCTGAGGGGCTCCATGACCTGACCTTGACTCGAGGTCTACACCTTAACCCGGCCGGGCCCGGGGGGTAATCCCAACCACCGCAGCCCGGGGGGCGTTTTTCGCCCCCCCCCCCTGTCTAACTCCGTAAATAAGGGAGCTACGGTAACAGAAGCGATACCAAACGAAAGGTCCTTACGAGACGATTCTAAAGCACCTAAAATTTTGACCTCAGGTCAATTTTCAAGGTCAGAGGTCAAGGTCAAAGGCAAAAACCGGCACATGTGTAGTGATCTCAAAGTAAGCCTTCTAGAGGACGGCAGGCCGCAGGCAGCATCAAACCGGAAAAATTGGGTGTCAAACGAAAGAAGAGAACCTGAGGATTTCGAAAATGTGCTCAAAATCAAAGGTCAAGGTCAATGTCACGCTGAAAAAAAACGACGCGAGCCCATGTGTAACGAGAGAGGCGATACGCCATTCGAAGTGGAGTAAAGCGTGCTTCAATCCAAGATAAATAAAATCAATCAAATCACATAAATTCAATCCAAGCACATACAAATAAAATGTTTGTAAGGTGCCGAAGTTCAATGGACCATTTCTGCGGTCAATAATGAAGGCAATATGACGATAAAGTCCAACTGAGATAATCGTTGGCACGGATGTGGCCAAAATCGGGCACGAGCAGGACCAGAATTTGGCGCAACTGTATATCACGAACGGGATCCAATGCTGGAACGAACGGCATCAGCGTCAGGCTCAGCACCATAAGCTGGTACAAATGGTGAGGCAATTCAGGCTCGAACTACAGAACAGTCAAGCATAACTAGTAACTACCGTAATCTAACACGAACAGTTATGAGACCCGGCACCAGAACCTGGTACAAACGGCACCATTTTGGACTGGAGAGCGTACCGTCACCAGGCACGAACGGTTCCAGAATATGGCGCGATGGTATGTACATCAGGAAAGAACGTTACCATAACCTGGCACGAACGACATAGGATCAACCATGGAGACCAGAATCAGACACGAACGGTAAAACATAATGGACAATAACGGGTATGCAACGGCGCAGAGCAGTTGAGAGGCCACCAGCGGCGTCCGGCAGGAGCCGAGCCGGTCGGCCAGCGCGCCGTCGAGCCGCGGGCTGGCGCCGCCCGTCAGCGCCAGCCCCGCCTGCAGCTCGCCCACCGACGGGCTCCGTGTGGACATGTGCAGCGTCACGCCAACGGCAGCATGCCGCTACGGTGCAAAAAGGTTCATTTTCTGACGACTGACAGTGTATTTCAATAAGGACACAAAAATGCAGCTGCCGGACTGGCCACCCTTTGCCGACCACACATGGACCGACGGCATCGGGCGCTGCCACTGGACCCTAGCACAGACTCGATCGGATCAACACAATCTTACACCAGGCACACAACACACAACGGATCATGGTACTCAAGTCCGTGCCATCGGTGTCACTCAACAAAAACGGTGCTTCTGTCTCAATGTAAAACTCAATGTATGTACTTACTGACGCCGCGGGCGGCTCCGGGCCGCGAGTCCCATCCGGACCCAACCCAGCACAGCCCAGCCCCCGGCCCGATTCAGCCCTATCACCGGGCACCGCTGCCAGTGCCGAACAGGGAAGGACGGACACCAGAGAACAACTGATGACAACGGACTTACGAGAACTTACAGCATCGAAACCATTATGAGGAAACACGTTATCGAGATACACAACAACCCATACACACTTCACACGCCATCTTGACGCTCACGACTCCGACGTACGCTAGGCCGCTGGCCACCCTTTGCCGACCACACATGGACCGACGGCATCGGGCGCTGCCACTGGACCCTAGCACAGACTCGATCGGATCAACACAATCACTAGACTTACACCAGGCACACGAGACACAACCGAACATGGTACATGCGTCCGTGCCATCGGTATCACGCAGCAAAAACGGTGCCTCTGACTTCTGAGCTTGATAACCAAACTCAACAAAAACGGTGCTTCAGAGCTTGACAACCAAACACCGGACACGGCCAGCAGGACCTACTGCAGCGCCTCGAGCGATCCTGACATAGGCCATGTGGCGGCTGTTCACTGGCTGCCACAGAGAGCACTGCTGACGTCGCGGGCGGCATCGGGGCGCGGGCAGGCACATGTATTGTCGCCGCGGGCGGCATCGGGGCGCGGGCAGACACATGTATTGTCGCCGCGGGCGGCATTGGGGCGCGGGCAGACACATGTATTTGACGCCGCGGGCGGCGCCGGTCCCCAAGTCCCGTCCGGACCCAACCCAGAACAGCCCGGCCCGGCCGCTCCAGCAGCTCACTCCTGAGGGCAGGGACCACCGAACTGATGTTAGTTACGCCGTGAAATCGGACGGAGTCATGGAGCTATGTGAAGGAAATACAATATTGAGCCTATTACGGTTTTCAAAAGCGTTTTTTCAGCGACGCGCTAGCTCCACCAGGGGCGAAACGGCGAGGGGGTCGTAGTACCCCCCTCGGCCGGCGCGTATGTAGAAAACCAATAGGTCCGGCGAGGGTTAATACCGCTGGAATTTGGCTTATTGAAGTAAAAAAATGCGGTTGGAGCTCTGCTGGCTCCAGTTCTATGAACTCAAAAATAGGTCACCTTATCCACACTTACATAGTTATGACAATGAACATTGAAGAACTAACTGACGATTGACTCAGTTAGTATCAAGGAGGAATCATCCCTTGCACGCCTAAAATAAGCAACCGAATATAGCGCATCGCAACAAACATACGCGCCAAGTACAAAGAAGTGCATCAATACATTGTCAATACTTACTGCCTTCTGTTTAAGTTTGTACATCTTGCATCTTATGTCATTCAGATTATGGCCGTTGAACGGCTCCCTCTTGTACAGGTCTCTGAGGTCATCCATACTGGGTACCCGCCCACCGCGGGCTTTCAGTATCGCCCGCAGTCTCTGCACTTCGGGCACAGACCACTTTACATATCGCTCTGAAAAAATAAAGAAATGTTAACCCTGTTATACGCCTTGACTAGCCTGAGGCAAGTTTTTTACCAGCGCCGTGACGCTCTTCCAATCACAATACATCGATGGAAGGACAAGGGTGCATTCACAACCTTTCTAGTCAGGTAATGGGCCGCCCTACAGTTATACACGTTGTCAAAGGTGAAAATTATTCTATTGTGACACCGTTGACGAACTTCCTGATAGACAAAAAGGTAAAACACAACCAATTACTGGTTGCTTTAAATGATTTTCTCACAGCACAAAATATTTAACCTCAGGCCATCACCTTTGTTTCAAAGAGTTAACTTTCTAATTACATACTTATTCGGAAACACTGACGCCCGGTGTGATACCGACTTTACATCTGTTATACCCGCATGATATACTTTCGTCTGCTCCGGGTGATTTAGTGATAAATAGCAGACATGGTTGTTTAGTTCAGCACTGCTTAGCGGGCATCAACCGGGTAAACGGGCCTACCTAGAGCGTCCAAACAGTGTTGCGGTAGAGCATCTCATCTTCCGTCGGAGAGGCCAACAGCCTGGTGAGACTACTACAGAATATGTGTCCGCTTTGCGAGCACTAGCCAATATATGTTACTTCAGGACGATAAATTAGACATCGGCAGCCACATCAGCCGCACAGCACCAGCCGACGTCCGGCGCTCGGAAACGGAGGAACATCTGGCCACCCTTCCAGACGACGCCGTGTAGGTATGGAGCGACGGCTCGGCGGAGGGAGGTGTCTCAGCCAGAGGGAGTGAAGCGTTGATAATCCTCCCCTCGGGCGAGGAACACGAGCTCCGAGCCCCCGCAGTCAAGATATGCAGCAGTACCCGCGCTAAGCTGGTGACGATCCGCGGGGCTCTGGAGATGCTGCTACAGCTGGAAGGCGGCCCGGCGGAGAGCCCAGTCATCGTCTGCTCAGACTCGCAGGCGGCGCTCGCCACGCTGGCGAGTGGTGCTGGGAGTCAGACGACCGACGGCACTCGGTGCCGCCGTATGGCGACTGCTCCTGACTCCGAGTCCTCATACAGTGGATCCCGGCACACTGCGGAATACCCGGCAACGAAAGGGTGGACGTGCTGGCTAAAGTGGCCTCCAGCATGTCGCAAGCCGCCGTCCCGATGGACGTCCGCTGCTTCGTAAAGGCTGATTGTTTGAATTGGACAATTGAATTGGACAATCATATACGAATTAATTTCGTGAAGGCTGTCAGCCTTGGCCGCTCCGCCACCAAGGCATGGCATCGCAGCTGGACAGACAGCATCTTCAAAAAACATTATGGGAGACCGGATGCCGATGCCGGTGCTTCTGGTGTCTCGGGACGAGGCGGTTAACGTCCACCAGCTGCGGGCGGGACACTGGAGCCACTCGTAGAGTTATCTGCGCAGGATCGGACGCCACCCCGAGCGCGAGTGTCCACAGTGCAGCGACCTGGCCTGCCCAGTGCAGTGGCGCGCTGCCTGGTGTGCCGCGAGGGTCCGGACACACCGGAGCGCGTGTTGCTCGGGTGCCCATGCTTGGCCGGAGCGAGGCTCCAACTACTCGGAAACATATGATCGGACCCTACGCAGCTTTGGGACGGCGGTGTCGTGGCGGCCTTCAGCCGCGGCTACCTCAGTCACCGAGAGCCGTTGGGCTACGGCCGGCCATGAGCCGACCCGCGGAGAACAAGAGCAACAACTTCAGGACGATTGAAGATAAGACGATCAGATACCTCGTGGTGGAACAGATCCTGCATCATCATCTAGCGAAGTTCCTGCAAGACGGTGCCCTCACCCTGGAGAAGGTGCTCGATTTGTGTGAAGCCTACGAGCGTTCAATCCTCCAGTCGTCTGATGGCTCGTCATGAACACAACGCAGTGGCTAATATCAGCCGACAGCCGCGGTTGACAGAACACCCAGCATCTGTAGAAGGCCATGCGGGAGCTAGGGGCTCGCTGACCATGCCAACAGCCAGGGCCCCTCAGTGTCCTGCCAGACGAGTGACCTGACGCGTCTGTGGAAGGAAGTCACTATGCTGCAGTCGGAAAGAGGAAGTTAACACGAGTGAAGAAGGCCACCATGGCGTTTCATGTGTTGCAGTGCAAGGTAAACACCTGCAGTAAGTAAGGTGACCGGCCCTGTCATCCTGGAGGCAGAGAGGCGTAGGCAAGCGATGACACTTACGGTGGATGCTGGTGAAACCTGCTCGACCTTGAGACTTTAGTGCAGAGTACGTCTGCCGTCTCTAGGGATGCACTTACGAGCCATCCACATCCAACCTCCTCAGGTTCGGGAGAATGCATTTCAGCGTGACAGGTAAATACTCTGCGACGTCTGCGTGCCACAGCCCGGTACCAGTCGGTGGATGCCAGCCTCTTCCTGGTGGATACATGGCCGCTGCGGAAGCCATCACAGGCCTGGGTCTGATGCAAAGCTGGGTGTCACCATTTCCCAACATCAGGTGAGGTCTTCACCATACAAGAGGAGGGGGATGCGATTCTCCCGACCATCAATGGCTACCAGCATTACAGCATCCTCGTCCCAAATGTCCCATCCTCGTCCCTAAGCCCACGGACTACAAGCTGCGCCGTCTTTTGCTCTCTGTTCGAGATGAGGTGCAGGAGGAGCGGAAGACATCGTGGAGAAGATTGAAGCGTCCTCATGGGTGAACCCGCAGGTCTTCTCTCGCAAATTCAACGGGCAGCGTTGACATCAGGTGGCCCAACTCACATATTGTGGCTGAGATATATCCTCTTTCGACAATCGAAGAGTACCAGGCTCGACTTCATGGCAGAGTCTACAGCAACATCGATCTCCGGTCGGCATGTGAGCAACTGGAACCCCATCCGGAGAGCAGGAACATCAGCGTTCATCTCGCACGGTGAGTTGATACGATTTCTGCAAATCACCTCCGGCCTGGTCTCGACAGACTCTGCTTGCCAGAATCTCCTTCACAACTTGTTAGGGAGCTCAGAAGTTTCCTCTCGCTGACTTGCTGGTCGAATCGCTCCATCCCAGTCTGCGCTTACATCCGACAACTTGCTGTGATTCTACGGAAGGAGTGCTGTTCGAGTGGATGGGGGAAGAGTCAAGGTTCCAGACCATCAAAAATGGTACCGAGCAGCCCGGTTCTGACGCCCTTAAACCGAGACCTACCGACAGTGGTGACGTCACGGCCACGCGCATCCGAATCATTCATTTGATAGCACTGCTGGGTGCTGGTGCCATCATGTCACAGCTGTCCTGACGGCTCAGTGCTTTGTCCTGACGAGCGGTGCTCTTTGTCCGACCGTGAGGCCCTCAGTGCCGTGCAAGCAATGGAGCGGTGGAACGTCTACCTCTGAGGGCGACGTTTAACACTCCGGACTGGCCAGTCCGTGATGAACACGCTCCTCGCCTAAGTTCTCAGACTGGGCGGGAGCACCTGTTGCTAGGTGGTAGGCTCGAATGCTACCGTACGTCTACGAAGTGACGAGCGCCCCTGCCAGCAGGATCACTGTCGCTGACGCACTGTCACGCCAGCGGCTGTCCACTACAGGGCCCGTAGAAGAAGCCGATGAGGAAAAGGTCGTCATCTGCGTCAGGGGCGAACACCTATCACCGCTAACGGAGAAGAAGGTTCGAGAGGCAGCTGTAAAGGACCCTGAGGGGTGTTTCACGGGCACCGCACACGCCTCCAATCCGCATGGCCTTTGAAGGAGTTTTGTATGTGGGCAGCCCCGTGTGGGCGTTTAGCTTGTCCTGCTCAAACCCACAGACGGATTTGGTGGCACTTACAACCGTATCAAATCCTTCGCCATTGATCAGCTCTTGCATGCTCTTTCCGGCTGCTTGGACAACTTCGCCCATCATCCTTAGGCGCTGGCTTATCTGCGCAAAACCCGACCTTCCAAGTTTCGCGTGCAAGTTGGCACCCCACTTCTTCAGGAGTTCATCGTTCTTTATGGTCTTCGTAACTGCATCGTCGTGCATACGAGACAATATGTCCTTGTGATACCCAGTATTTTCTTCTTGGCCGTCACTCAGGAGCGTCCGGCTCTCTGCCAGCACCGTGGGAATGTCTGGGCATTCTGTTTTGCGAGCCACACAGTGATGTTTTATGTGCTGCATCATGTTGGTTTTAACCACAAAAAGATAGCAGTAAGGACATGGCACGTAGTCGTCCACGGACGCCTGGTCCGACTTCCTTCCCAAGATCATGTCACCTTCACCCCTTTGTAGGCATCCCACCTTCCGCGTCCGGGGTCGGGACGGGCGGCGGGGCTCCGGTCGCAGTCTCAGAAGTCTCACGCAGATGAAGAGCATCCCACCTTCCAGCGTCAGAGGTCGGGACGGGCGGCGGGCCTCCGGTCGCAGTCTCAGAAGTCTCACGCAGATGATGAGCATCCCATCTTCTAGCGTCCGGGGTCGGGACGGGCGGCGGGCCTCCGGTCGCAGTCTCAGAAGTCTCACGCAGATGAAGAGCATCCCACCTTCCAGCGTCCGGGGTCGGGACGGGCGGCGGGCCTCCGGTCGCAGTCTCAGAAGTCTCACGCAGATGATGAGCATCCCATCTTCTAGCGTCCGGGGTCGGGACGGGCGGCGGGCCTCCGGTCGCAGTCTCAGAAGTCTCACGCAGATGATGAGCATCCCATCTTCTAGCGTCCGGGGTCGGGACGGGCGGCGGGGCTCTGGCCGCAGTCTCAGAAGTCTACGCAGATGAAGAGCATCCCACCTTCCAGCGTCAGAGGTCGGTACGGGCGGTGGGGCTCCGGTCGCAGTCTCAGAAGTCTCACGCAGATGAAGAGCATCCCACCTTCCAGCGTCAGAGGTCGGGACGGGCGGCGGGGCTCTGGCCGCAGTCTCAGAAGTCTCACGCAGATGATGAGCATCCCACCTTCTAGCGTCCGGGGTCGGGACGGGCGGCGGGCCTCCGGTCGCAGTCTCAGAAGTCTCACGCAGATGAAGAGCATCCCACCTTCCAGCGTCCGGGGTCGGGACGGGCGGCGGGGCTCCGGTCGCAGTCCTCAGAAGTCTCACGCAGATGAAGAGCATCCCATCTTCTAGCGTCCGGGGTCGGGACGGGCGGCCGGGCCTCCGGTCGCAGTCTCAGAAGTCTCACGCAGATGAAGAGCATCCCACCTTCCAGCGTCCGGGGTCGGGACGGGCGGCGGGGCTCCGGTCGCAGTCTCAGAAGTCTCACGCAGATGATGAGCATCCCATCTTCTAGCGTCAGAGGTCGGGACGGGCGGCGGGGCCTCCGGTCGCAGTCTCAGAAGTCTCACGCAGATGAAGAGCATCCCACCTTCCAGCGTCCGGGGTCGGGACGGGCGGCGGGGCTCCGGTCGCAGTCTCAGAAGTCTCACGCAGATGAAGAGCATCCCATCTTCCTAGCGTCCGGGGTCGGGACGGGCGGCGGGGCTCCGGTCGCAGTCTCAGAAGTCTCACGCAGATGAAGAGCATCCCACCTTCCAGCGTCAGAGGGTCGGGACGGGCGGTGGGGCTCTGGCCACAGTCTCAGAAGTCTCACGCAGATGAGCATCCCACGTTCTAGCGTCAGAGGTCGGGACGGGCGGCGGGGCTCTGGCCGCAGTCTCAGAAGTCTCACGCAGATGATGAGCATCCAACCTTCTAGCGTCCGGGGTCGGGACGGGCGGCGGGCCTCCGGTCGCAGTCTCAGAAGTCTCACGCAGATGAAGAGCATCCCACCTTCCAGCGTCCGGGGTCGGGACGGGCGGCGGGGCTCCGGTCGCAGTCTCAGAAGTCTCACGCAGATGAAGAGCATCCCACCTTCCAGCGTCAGAGGTCGGGACGGGCGGCGGGGCTCCGGTCGCAGTCTCAGAAGTCTCACGCAGATGATGAGCATCCCACCTTCTAGCGTCCGGGGTCAGGACGGGCGGCGGAGCTCCGTCCATCGCATGGGTAGCCGGTCGCAGCTCATGAGTCGTCATAGTCAAGTCAAGTCCAGGATATTTGTGGTATACATGATACTCAGTGGTGTGAGGAGGGGTTTCATCCACGCGGCCGGCTGACCCAGGAGATGAAGGGAGGACTTCTGGAAAGAAAAGATATGGCAACGCATAAGGAAGCATGGCGGTAGGAGGATGAATGCTGTCTTGATTTTTAACCATCACCAGTGATTCGGCGAGTGATTTTAAAATGTAGGATCAGGTAGTGAGCCAAAAAAAGAACAATGTCTAAAGAAAAACCAGAAAAATGATTGAATTATGATGTGTTGATTAGCATAGATACAAGTAGATTTGGGTGGACTGAGTAACTGGTAACAACACAAATGTAGGCACCATAGTCACGTCTTACCTCGTCCATTTTTACGTGAGTGACGCTGCGCGCCTTTATGTCTGCCACGGGAGTGGAGAGCAGCAAGCAGCATCCTCTTCCCATATGATCCAGCTATGCGCCCTGTCAAATATTGATAGCTATTAGCTAACATAAAATACTAAAGGAAGTTTCCCAGCCAGCAATTGGTTTGGCTCAAGTCCGTTTTGCCCTAGCGACTCCGGCACGCCAGATTTGGGCCGGTGTAAACGGAACGCCGTCGGAATAAGAGTTTGGGTCGATATGGCTCTATTCCGGTTAACCAGTCTTTGCCGTAGCGTTCCGGAGCTAGTATGGCTTCGGACCGACAAGTCCGGCCGGCACTAGCGAGCGGTGGCCTGACCTGACCTTGCCGGAGGGGGCCGTGACGTCACCGGCGGGCGGTCAGAGCGAGTCGGCAGAGCCTCACTCTACGCGGCCCGAGCGAGCAGTGAGGATCGGTGAATAGGACATAGGGGAGGGAGGGGAGGGGAGGGGGAGGGGAGGGAGGGGAGAGAGAGAGAGAGAGAGAGAGAGAGAGAGAGAGAGAGAGAGAGAGAGAGAGAGAGAGAGAGAGAGAGAGAGAGAGAGAGAGAGAGAGAGAGAGAGGCGGCCGGCCAATAATTAGGCAGCCAACACTGAGTTGAATGAAGCACACGATGCTGACAACGTTACGGAGTTAACTATAAGATAATGTCATGCGTTAATGTGATTGGATTTTTCACTTAAATGCTTTCTTCCTTTGTGACCCACAACCCCTAATTTGGGGAGGACAAGCTGCCCCAACGGTTCCTGACCTTATGAAAAGTTGTGGGGCACCGCCCCCACGGCCCCAGAGTTGTGGGGGCTAGCTGCCCCACTGCCCCCGGTTCCCGCGCCTATGTATGAATCTATGAAATTATGTTGGTATATTTCCGATTTCGATCCCTCCAGTTGGAGGGGCTCAAATACCTTACGAGCCCCCCTTCCCAGCCGAAAAGTTGGAGGGGCTCAGCACCCCCTAGCCCCCCCCCCCCCGGCTCCCGCGCCACTGCCCCCCCCCCCCAAGGCAAATCATGGGCATCATAGCATTTATTGCCCCCCCCCAAACTAACCGATGAGCCCCCATGGGGGTATGGGCCCTGGCCCTTATTCGATTATCACGAGGCTCAAGAAACACACGCCAGCTATTCGCACAGCTCCCATACCGGTCTTTGAGGGTCCTACAATGACCTCTGAGGGTCCCTCAGTGGCGGTCATGCGCCCACCTTGACCGCTGAGCCCCCAGCATGACATTAAAAACTCAGACCACCAGCACGGCGCAGGTTAATAGCATCTGCAAATTTGAGCACTCTACTAAGCTATGCCTTCGTCGATTGTATTTACATAAATTTTGAACATGAGACCTAATACAGCTCTGAGGAACCCCAATCAGAACATTTTTCCCACCTTGCCCTTCACCCATTTAGCACTATACGCTGCTGGCGTCCTGTCAACCGGGTCTAGTATATTCCCCTTCATGCCTTGCAGCTTCAATTGCAATACTATCCTTATGTGTGGTACTTTATCAAACGCATTATTGAGGTCAAGGTATGCTACCTACATCAAACTGCTTTCTTTGCCAAAAGTGTTTGTATCTGTCGCAGCTTCAAAAAAGTCTAGGTTAAACATAAACAGCCTTTATTTAACTCATGCTGGATATTGCCTATCACACTGTTTTCATCCAAAGATTCTACCACTTTCCCCTAGATTATGGATTCCAATATTCTGCAAACCAAGGAATACTTCGACAGTGACTGTAACTCACCTCGTTTGGTATCCATCTGTGATTGGATAGTGGAGACTGACGCCAACCTGAAAACAAGTGTTATTGGCAGTCAAGGTGTGAGAGGTGCATACACTAAATATTGCCGCTTGTATCATTGAAACTTTTACATCCGTCCGCCCGCTCATTGCCAGCAACACCAACATGACTAGGGATCCAGCAAAAAGTGATTGATGTTCCCTCTCGGTCGAGGGCTGTCAGACGGAGAAGAATCTCCTGTACGAGGAGGTCGGTCGAATAGAATTGTGTCAAGGCCTGGAGACCACTCAATGAGTCAGATGGGCTCCTATGTAGCCACACTTATCTCCATAAAGGACCAATGCGCCGGTTTCTGAGAGACCTTGCCGGCTTCTGAGGGCCCTAGTAACGGCCAATGAGGGATCAGCTGCAATGGCTCCACACCCGTCTGTGATAGCCCCACGGCCCACACCAGTGTTTCTAAAAGCCACCACATCGGCACCTGCGAGGCCCCTCACGCCATCTCCAAGGGACCCACATCAGCGCATCGCCCGTAACCCTCGCCGTATTGTAGTAACATTAACCCTCGCCCGTATTGGTGTTTTTCCAGCCGCGAACGTATAGGTAAGGGGGCGGGGCCCGTTGCCCCCCCCCTTGCCGTTTCGCCTATGATTGAGCTAGTTTCGCAGAAAAAAAAACGAGCGTGTTGCCCGTGACGAGAGGAAACCGATGACACCCAATATTAAGGTCCTAGTTCATTGGTTGACCTTCCAGGTCAGGTCAAAGACCCAGAAGTCGGGAAAATCGGGACCTGTTAGAACGTCGTAGTGTGGCAGTGTGGCTGATATGGGGGCTTTCGGGGTGTTGATCACGAATATCATGTTAATTTTGATCACAGATGATGTCCTCATGCATTTTAACTGGGCCGGGTCAGGTCAGGTCAGGTCAACCAGTAGGGGTCCTGCCGGGTCTTCGCAGTAGGTGTCAACCGCCTCTGACAGCTTCGTAACATGTTACGAAGGCACCAAAACTACTTCGTTAAAGGAAGGGTGCCACCTTCCGAAATTTTTGTTCTATGAATCTATTTTACTTATTTGAATTTTTAGACGTGGTTAGCGCGTCCACAATATACAAAAAACCGAAACATTGCATTTAATACATTGGCCAAAAAAAAAGATCGTTGTTTATATCACCACTACAACTCAAGGTCGTTTGATGTGGCAGCTAGGACGGCTGGCATATCCTGTTGTCATGGCAACATATCATTCTGCCATTTGCATTGATGGCGCAACTGAGACAAAAATCAAATCAAATAAATACATCAATAAAATACATCAAATAAATACATCAAATAATAATAATAATAATAAATAAATACATCAAATAAATACATCAAATAAGTCGAGTAAAGGTTTTTCCTTTACAATGTTTAAGAGATCTATGGAACCCTTCACCCTTCATGCAACTTACTAGAAAAACTTCCCAATTAAAATTTTAAAACTTAAGTGTATACCATAAAGAAAAAATATACCCTTTCAAAATGATAAAACATGCTTCAAAAGTATAACTTTTATACATACCTTTGCTGATTTCATGTTTTATAAAATACCCTTAACACGACGAGGAAATAGTGCTGAAGATTTTTGCCTGCCCGAATGCTGGCAGCAAAACTCGCAAATGATAACTTCACGTGCGGATTCAATGCTGACCGTCTCGAGCATAGGTAAGTGAAGCCGGTTTTTAGGTTCATGTGAGGCTAATCTTGTAAAAACTGCGTTGTGTCCAAAAGGTGGCACCCTTCCTTTAATGTTCATATGGTTGCTAAATTCGAATTCAGCTCCAAAAACTAGCCTAGAAACATGTAAAACTCGAAAAAGTGAACCGAGGTCATCAAAGGTCAATGACCTGACCAGACCTTCAGGTGACCTTGACACCCACCCTAATGCATGGGGGCAACATCATATCACATGTTTGAACGCCTGAAACCACGAAAAGACTGGAAACGCGCGGCTAATGCGAGCCGACATACGCCGAACCGCGATTCCGGCCAAACATGGGCTCGAAAAGTAGGTCACAGGTCAAAGGTCATTTAGGTCAGGGTCATGAAATTTTTAGGGTAGGTGTAAAATTGAATAACCCGAGGGTACTGAAAGTTTCGTCGCGATCGGCCGCTTTTTACGCGAGTTATTCGCGAAAAACCGAGGGGGCCGTTCGACCCCTCCCCTACACGAACGTGGGTTAAGGGCCTACATCGGCGGCTCTGAGAGTCCCCAAACCAGCGTCTCTGAGGGCCACGTACCAGTGACTGGGCCAGTACCAGTGATGGCCTCTTACCAGCCTCTGAGTGTCCTTGCCAGTCTTAGTCTATGAACTATGAAAGGCCACTTTCCACTTTCAGGCCACTGTGCAGGGCCACGCACATGCCAATGATGGCCCCACCAGTGTCTCTAAGCCCTAAGGCCCCGCGGCCCGCAACGGCGGCTGTGAGGACTCAACACCAGCGCATCTGACGGCCTTTCACACCGGTGACTGAGGAGCTCGCTTGCTTCGTTTGCTCGTAAAATACCATGCACATTAGGCACACTCCTTGGGCATAAATGGTATTTTTACGTGCCAATTTTTAACATTTTCTCAGGGCAGACCGTTTTAAAGAGGCCTGTCTGCCAGTGGGACCGGACCCACCGTGCCCCCCTCCCATCGAAAGGTCCTGGATACGTCCCTGCCTGGGCTGACCCCGGGCCCCCGGGTGACTCGCGGGCCCCTTCAAGAGCAGGTGATCCCCTCGTGGGCGAAATCCTGGGTACGTGTCTGACGTACATCGTGCATAGTTAATCCAACAACTATTTGTCATGTTGATTTGATTTTTTAAAAATAAATTTAGTCCGAACCTTTTGATGGGAACACGGGCGTAGGAACGTCATGAAAAGTGGGTGGGCCACCCTGTCAAGGGGCCTCCTTTTCCAGGGGGCCTCCTATTTTCAGGGGCCTCCAACTTTTGCCTCGTCCTGCCGGCTGCTTTCAAGTATGACCTCCAAATCTAGCTTCTGAGATCGAGCAGATGTACCCAGGGGCGTAACCGCTTCAGCGAACAGTGCGGGAAGTCCGCACCATTTTTAAAACTTATTCTCCCTCCGATTTTTTTTTAGAATCTATATGCCGCAAACGGTGCATGACCCCTGAAAACCCTTACACAAATGTCTTCCTCGTTTCCCAGGTGCCCCCATTAGCTTTATAGGCGCCCTCTTTGGCATATAAGCGCCCTATGTATAGTCATCAGAGACATCCCTATATGTCCCACAGTCGCCCCGTTGTCGCATACAATGTGCGCTTATCATAGGCGTCTCTCTTTTATGGACACTTGAAGGCGCCTCTCTTTGCCATGCCGGCGCCCCTGTTTCTTATGAATGCACCCTCATGGCATCGATCCATTGCAGTGCAGACCTCTATTGCATGTGGACGCCCATATATGTAGGCCTCAGAGGCACCCCTCTTTCGCATTAAGGCACACCTAAGGGCTTCATAGGCGCCCTTCTATTGCACGTAGGTGCCCTACTGTCTCAGAACCGCTCCCCTTTGGCATGCAGACGCCCATCTTTCGACAGAGGAGCCGCTGTGGTTCTTAAGACGGCATGTTACTCCCAGACGCAGATGGGGCTCTCGGAGTCGGGACCTTCAGTCGATGATGGGTGCCCGCCAGATGTGGACCCTCGGAGACGCCGGTATGGGGCCCTCAGAGATGCCGGTATGTGGCCCTTAGAGACACCGGTGTGGAACCCTCAGATACTTCAGTGTGAAGCCCTTACAATTGCTGGTGTGGAGCTATGAATGCGCTGGCTTAAATCCCTCAGAGGCCGGTACATGGACATTAGAGCTCAGTGAGAGCTTGGCTTGTGTGGTGCCTTCAGTGGCCTTGTGGAGCCGTTAGACATCAACATTCAACATGGTGCTCTCAGGAGCCGGTGAGTCCTCAGAGTCACCGGTGTAGGGCCTTCAGAGCTCCGAGATACTGGTGTGGGGCCCTCAGAGGTGTCGGTGTGGGTCCTTCATATGTACTTATAGAGCCTTGAGATGCACAGGTGTGGTGGCCCACAGAGGCGCCGGTGTGGGGCCCCCAGAGCCACCGATATAGGGCCCTAAGAGACACTAGTATGACCCTCAAAGGCGCCGCTGTGTGGCGCTCATAAACACTGGTGTGGAGCCATCACAGGCGGGTGGAGCCGTTAGAGGCCGGAAAGGGCCCTTAGATGCCTACAAGGAGCCTTCAGAAGCCGGCGTGGCACCCTTATGGGAATAAGCGTGTCTACTTAGGACCCCTTGAGGTGCTCTCATGTGCTCTGTGGGGCTCTACCGAGCCGAAATATGGCCACGGCAAGTTGCCGCCACCTGGCTCTTCGGACTATCATTCTCAGGGGCCTCATCTGCCTAGTTTGAATAGAAGGGCCTCTCAGAAAATCAGTCTCATGGGCCTCCTCTGGCTAGTATAAATAGAAGGGCCTGTTAGACCATCAATCCTAGGGCCTCTTCTGGTTAGTATAAATAGAAGAGCCTCTCAGACCATTAATCTCAGGGGGCTCCTGTGGACAGTATAAATAAAAGGGCCTCTCAGACCATCAGTCTCGGGGGCCTCCCTAGAAAAGTGTAAATGTGGATAGAAGGCCCCCTCAGATTCATTAGGTGTGAACCTCTCTGACTATCAGTCTTAGGGGCCTCTTGTGGCCAGTATGAATATAAGAGCCTCTCAGACCATCGGTCCCAGGGGCCTCTTCTGACTAGTTTGGATAGAGGGCCCTCCCAGACCACCGGTTTCAGGGGCCTCCAGTGGCCAGTTATATGAACAGAAGGGCCTCACAGCCATCAGCCTCGGGGGCCTCTTCTGACTGGTGTGGATATGAGGGCCTCTCATACCATCAGTCTCAGGGGCCTCCTCTGCCTAGTGTGAATATAAGGGCTTCCCAGGCCATCAGTCTCAGGGGACTCTTCAGACTGGTGCCGGATTGAGGGACCTCCCAGTCCCAGACAGAAAGTTTTGGGGGGTCTCCTGTGGCCAGTATGAATAGAAGGGCCTCTCAGTCCATCAGTCTCATGGGCCTCTTCTGCCTGGTGTGATTATAAGGGCCTCTCAGGTCATCAGTCTCAGAGGCCTCCTCTGACTACAGTGTAGATGGATAGGCCTCCCAGACCATCAGTCTCAGGGGCCTCTTCTGACTATTGAGGATAGAGGGGCCTCCTCTGACTAGTGAGGGTAGGGGGCCTCGGCTAGACCGCCAGTGTCAGGGGCCTATTCTGACTAGTGTGGATGGAGGGGAGGGGCCTCCCAGACCACCAGTCTCAGACCTCCGACTAGTGTGGATAAAGGGGCCTCCCAGACCGCCGGTGTCAGTGGCCTCCCCAGACCAGTGTGGATATTGGGGCCTCCTCAGATCCACTAGGGCCTCTCAGGCCATCAGTCTCAGGCGCTTCGACTGTCAAGTATGAATAGAGGGCCTCCTTGGATCCATCACGGCACCTTGGAGTCCGTGCGTGGGGATTCGTGGAACTTATTTTTACCAAGTTTGTTTATTATGGGAGGTGACGACGTCCTCTCAAATCGAGACGAGGGCCTAGAGTAAAAAGTGGGTGGGCCAAAACACATGGTTGGCCCCCACTCGAAAAGTGGGTGGGCACTTACCCACCTGCCCACCATTGGTGTACCCTATGTTCCAGTGTTGCAAAAGTTGCCGCTGATTGGTGTCTCCAGACACCAAAGATTTTTGTACTCAGTACTCATCATAGAAAAAAATATAATTTTGTACTCACTTTTCAGGGAAACTGAAATCAATGGGTAAACCCCATAACGATAGCATGCCAGTCAAAAGTTAAGTGTCCACTGAGTTAGAAATAAATGTAATGTAACAAAACAAGCATTACCCAGCCACAGCCCACAACAATCACAAAGTTTAATTCGCCGAAAGTAAAGTCTTTCAATCACTGGAAGAAATTACC